TGCAGTGTGCACCTGTAAAGACTGTCGCTGTTAGGCAGCTTTGAGAGCTCCTGTTTCCAAATGGCTTATATCTTGGCCTCTTTTGCCTCATTTTTAGTGTTGCATTTAAATGGATGCGGCCTTAATCTTATCTTTCTACTTAGGGAGGTTAGAATCCTCTTTTACCTAATTATTCCAAATCCCTTACTAATGGCATTTGACCTCAGCAGCAGCTATCACCTTCTTTCCATAAACACACGCTGGGCACTAGTCTCAATTCTATGCATGTTTTTATATATATTTCAACACACCAACCTCGTCCTCCAAATGAAAGAGAGCAACATATCGTCAGTTCTCCTCTCTTAAAAAAATAATGATATCATCATCGCTAACTTAGCTCCTCTCATCTAGGCTTTCATCTTGAATACAAGACTTCTATCACTGGTCATGCAGTATCAAGTAACTGCTTTCCCCATCTAATTTATTTGTTCATTCCCTACCCTTAACTCATCTCTCTAGCACCTTTCAAATTAATAACTCATTTCTAACATCCCCTTTTTCACCCACCACACCTCCACACACCATTGTTTTTCCATCACCTAAACCATACAGATATAGTATAAGATAGGTAAATAAGAAGGTAAATAAACCCATAATTTTTCTTTCCCTTCCTCCTCCAGCTTTTATCTTCTGAAATGTTTATGGAAGCACAACAGTAACTGCCTTTTGGGGAAAACACAGAGGCAGTTTCTACTACCTTTCAGTATGTTGTAGGCCAAAGGCTCCAGAGAAATGGTGGTGTGTATCAGATTCATGTAACATGTTACTGCATCTATAGATATCGCTATAAAAAGAAACTCGCTGCTTAAAAAGAACACCTTATTGTTTTATTAAATATGGATTAAAAACTCTTCGGTTCTTCAAAATATCTTTAGTTTACAAGAATTTAATTTTTCTGAATATAAACAAACTACAAGGAGCACAGAAACCTGTAAGCTTAAAATAATCTACCAAAAAAGCCAGCTGTTCCAAAGCAAACTATTTCAAGGTGCTGTGACTTTAGAAGAAAGCTGTTTTACATTATCAGCATATCTTCTCAACATATTAAAAAGCTTTTCAGGGCAAGAATGTTTCATTCTACCACATTCTTTTATACTATACCAACAAAACTTACTACTGCTAAGATTATTACTAAGTTCACATGGTCTCTTATACTGCATGTCATAATTTGAGCAATTATCTTCTATCTACAGAAGATTAATAAAATACAACAGACTAATATAGTCTTCCAGAACCTAGTATCTAAAACCTTCAACTCTCTGAATCTGTTCAGAACCATGTAAAAAATTTGTGAACTGCAATTTTTTTTTCAATAATGAAATTACTTCCAAGTAAGCAGGCAGCATATTCAATAATACTGCTTTGATCTTCCAAACACTGCATTCCTTTGTATCTACATACGTGCAGTAGGATACAAGCATCAGAAACATGGCTAGCCAAATAAAACTCCTTATAAGGTGTTACCCATCCTCCAAAGAAACTGTGTGTTTAAATTAATTCCAACATATCCTATGATTACTAAAATACTGACTTACAGGGGTAGAAATCTGTATTTGAGAGACTTTCTTCTTTCTGACATAGATATGATACGATGTTGCTATCTCAAAAGAATATACAATATACATCTTCATTACAGAAATGAAAGTGCTACTAAAAACCACACCATGACTGTAGTGAGGCACTGAAAAAAATGCAAGCGTGAAACCTTTTTGTACTGCATACACATAGTAAGATACTATATTTATCCTGCCTATATAATGGCACTTGGTGAACTCTGTGCAGAGGTCAGATCTTTTAGACAGTAGAATTTGAAGAACTTAAAAGCAAATTGGATGGGTTTTTTTTCTGTGTTCCTATCCCAGTTGCCAACATTCAGCTTCTTGCTTTTCTACTAGCAAGAAAATACCAGAAGCTGTACTTTATGTAATGAAGCAGGTGTATTACCTATGTTAGACAAACCTACTGCACCTATATTAGTAAACATCTTTTGTAAAGGCAACATAAAAACAAAGATGCAAAGACTGGAATGACAACCTGTGAGCATAACAGGAAACAAGAATGCATTCAAGTTCTTCTGCTCCTCCTGAGGGATGACTTGACAGAAGGTCTTGGTCAGGCGAATGTTATAATTTTGGCCATCAAAGTAGCAAGACAGCCAGCTAGAACTCATCTTAATCATGTGTTTGTAGACACACTGCTTTGGACAAACACGGTGGTATACCTGAATGTGTTTCTTTAAAAAATTCTTTGTAAAATATGTGCTACACCTACCTTGATGAGGTAGAGATATATCAATCTCTTACAATACATATATACTTATATATGTTAAGACAGATGAGTTTTAAAAAAATATTCCGATCCACAAACTCAGAACGTTGTATGTCTGGGGTATACAGTTTTAAGATACATGTATGCTCTTTTTATCACATGCCCTGTGTGCAAAAGTGTTAGAATATTCAAACATATAAATGTACTTGCGGTTTTTTTTACTTGTATTTGCATAGGACAAATGCGTTTAAGAACTAACCCCACAGAACCATAGGGATGTAAACTTCCAGGATCCAAAACGTATTGTGTATGTTCACTAAAGCAGACTTTAATAATCTGTAAAAACCTACCCATGAAAAAAAATAGCAAGAAAACTGCACACTGACCTGTATGTGAAGTTTGGTGGTGTTTTTTTTAGACCATCAGACAACAAATCCTACGTCGGAATGAAGTATTTAATCTTCAAGTCTAAGTGTTTTGCAAGGTACTCACAAACTGAGCATATTCATTTTCAGTGGAAATGTCTTTAATACGAATGTTTTTTTGTAAATTTTAATGTTTTTGTTCACATAGATCGATGTCAAAACAGCAAATGTCAAAATATTTGAAAAAGTGTTCAATTTAGCTAGAAAATAAGGTCAATTGGCAAAGTCAAGTATAGTTAATACAAGATTCTAGATTATCCTAGGTGGAAGGGGTGTACTCACACTAGAACTTTCAAGCAATTTAATGTTTTCTTCCTATTAATAGATTAGCTAGCCCTAAATATTAATTATCTCAGTTGGTGACAACTAAAGAATCCCATGCTTCTGGAACCAGAGCAAATTACTCTTAAATGCTAGTATCAAGGTTACAAGCACTGTTTGCATTTTGCTTATGAACTACAGATCACTGAAAGTTTCCTGTTGCACTGCAGCAAGAAAAGGAAATGTTAACACAAATAAGCTTAATTTGCTGCAAAGTACAGCAAGATACTTCAGTAATCTCATAAAAATTTCATACTAGAACTTGTTCAGTTTGATCTTTTAATGTAATACAGTACATTTTTATAAACTTAACATTATCATTGCAGAAGAGCATGCTAACTGAATGTTAGCAATTTATCTTTTATACATAATTATACTCTACTGTAGCTACTGTATGCAGATCTCAATGTTAGTACATAAAATATTCATTTTCTTTATATGAGATGAGAATGAACTCAGAGGTTTGAATATAAGAATGAAATATATGCTGTGCCTATTTCTCAAGAAATAATGAATTACACATTATAACCCAAGAAATCAACATTAAATTGCAAAACTATAGTTTAAATTTACATTAAACGTTATGATCAGTAATGTGCATCAATATTCAATTAAGTTTAACCCAACCATGCTTATGCACCTAAAGCCTCAAGAGTCTGCAGCAATTTCAGCATTAATTTTTCATATTTTTGTATAAAATGGACTTAAAGGTATATCTTTCATAAATGTTTTCAGTGCAATTCTGTCAAAGAGGAAAATATAAAGCTAGCTTTCAATCATTTTATACCATAAAAAAAAAACCAACAACTTGCATTTGCACTGCTGAAAAAAAAAAAGTAAGTCAGTTCCATTGTGCCAGCTATTTTGAAGTCAATTCAAATCAACCATAATTGCCTTTTTAGGCAGCATTTCCCCTGTTTCTGTAGGTATAAATTTTGAAAAGCTGAATACTGGAAGGGGAGGAGGAGGGGAGTGGGGAAGTTAAGCTGAGGCAGAATAATCTAGTTGTTTATAATACCTTTTTCTACTGGTAAAAAAAAAAACAATGCATAATGAAAAAATTCTATAAAGTTTTCTTTACTACTGATCTTACAGTTTGGAAATCAGCAAATCTGTGTTTTAGTATTATCCTTTCCTCTGATCTTTACAGGCCACCTTACAACTCTAAATTATTCATTGATGGATTAAGAGAAAATGCTCCATTATTCAATGAGATAAAATTTTCCTAAGGTAGAAACTGATTTTTTCGCATGTTGTCAACTGTAAGGAACCAGAGGGAGAACAGCACCTGAAATTATAATATGTGCTTGGCTAAGCATAGTATAGTAACCTATATATTTTGGTTCAAAGACACAGTTTGTAAACTGTAAAACTGCATACAGGATACTGCTTTAAGTATTTTGTTTCTATTTTTTTTGCAGATTATACATAAAAAACCCAAAAAACTCAACTTCTCTATGGTAGCACAAAATAAAAATGGAACTTCATTTAAGATCCTGAATACCTTGACTGCAATAATCAACAGCTGGTTATTCAACAAAAACTTAGCTCTTCATACCAAAAAAATTTGGCTCAAAAAACAAAAGCAAAACAAAAAAAGGTACAATAAACTCTCAATAAAAAGTTCTCTCATGAGGCAACCTACCATATACTACTGCTAGATACGAGTTTCCAAAAAAAATTACATCCCATTTTCAGCACATTTTTCATAAACATGCAACTTCACTATAAAATACAAAACACTTGGCTCTCAAGAACAGCTTTATAAAGACACACTGCATCAATAAAATTTTTCTTTGTGATTAACTTTACATTGTAATAAGAACTGTATTTTCACTAATGTTTATATATCAGATTTCATATTATAATGTAATAATTTGCTCTGTGAACATGATGTTCAGAAGGAAATATCTATACACATTAACATACTAGACTATTAAAAACTCAGTTACAGAATTTTATTGATACAGTAGATTAATAAAAACTGATAGGGAAGATAAAATGGGTAGGGTATTCAGTACATTATTTAATAACACACTTTTAAAATTAAAATATTTTAAATCTTTTTTGAATTTTCAATGCCACTAGACATCCAGAAAAGTCTGGCATCAATACTGAGGTGTAAAACAAGTCAAACAACTTCTTTCACAATTTGCATCTCTTGTATTATTCTATCCAACATTGTTCAACTGTAAAAGAAAGTAATTTAGCACCTCTGATGATAGGTAGGTGCCTAAAGGTAAACACTAGGTTAGATTCATGAAGGAAACCAAGACCTCCTTTTCTTCTTCTTCTCAACAAATAGTGGCAAAAGAAAGTGGCACTATTTGTTCAACTGATTTTTTTTTTCACAGTTAAATGTCAAGAAGAGTACAAATACAAACACTGACAGATATTGCTTGAGATCAATTTTCAACAAACTCTGTTCTTTTTTTAAATGAAAAGATCCAATAAACAGTAGGGTACTGTCAGTTTAAAGCCGCGGATAAAAGCTATACAAGCACTTTAGAAGTCAGAAACATTAAAAAAAAGAACTATTTACAGTTTTCTTCTTTAGTTCATATGTCTACAAAGCCAGCGCACATTACACTTCACAAAAATCCACAGTTAATGATATCAACATGTGTGTGGCTAAAGCTTGTGACCTGGGGACTGCAAATGCAGGGGCAGTAAAAGTAAAACAGGTTTCGTCTTTTTTTCAGCAACCCCATTTGTGCACTAGCAGCTTCATTCAGTCTCAAGCTTTATATTAAAAGCATTCTTCAAAGCTTTCACCTGGAAGGCTGTTAACTACATGCTCATTCATCGCCTTTCCCTTTTCGAAGTTCTGCGACGGACCTGTTTGGAGAAAAAGTATTTTAAATGTTTTTACTGAAAAGTTTTGAAAAATTCAAGAATAAATATATTTTATAATGGAAAAAATGCTTAGTCTCATGATAATGTCTGAGAAACTGCACACAGTGTCATTCATTACTCATTTTATCACCAGTACAACTCTCAGTCAACAGACAGGACATAACTTGGTTTGATGTTACTGAGCCTGCGTCCTTCTAGTATTCAAAAATAGTCTAGTTTCCTTTTTCAGAGTTTTCATACACTCAATCATCAGATGTGTCCACAAGTGTGAAGGCATTTACACTTACATTTTTGGTATTACTACTAATGTTACTAACCTATTTGTATGAAAAAAATTTGAAAATAAACTTATTTTAATGTATTTGCATATGCTGGTAAAAGGAAGACAATGGTTTAAGATTCTGCTCCAAGATTCCATACTTATTTTCCAGCACTATTCATTTTGTGTTCTTTTTTTGTATAAAGAAACATTATTCACTATTATAACCTAGCTGAGAAGAATAGGCATGAGTTCCTGGAAAATAATTCACAGGAGGTACTACGCAACTCGAGCACAGATAATAAAAGCCATACAGAAAATTCTATAATGCTTGTCAAAACCTGACATTTTCTAAGAAAATCAGCTTCTCTGGGAAACTACAGTGCAGTGCTACTACACAACAGTGGCAGTTGATAACCAGCTCATTCATTTTAAAGGAGGAAGGTTAAGTCCTAAGAGCAGGAGAAGTAATTCTCTGAACAAGAAAACACATAGAGGACACCACAAAGACTCAGGAAGAAAATTTCACGCATTTTTCTTACATTGATTGTGGAAACTTCCTCTTCTTCCATTACTTCCTCCTGGGGAATGTCATCACTGACAGGTGAACTACTCTGAAATACATCCATCTCTTCACTAGATTCATTCTCTTTACTTGCTGCTTGTTTTGAACGTCCCGCACGGCTACAAAGAAAAAAAAGATCAGAGTATATGGGTCTGCACATGTAAAAACTGTATGAGAGCAAAGATTCTACTTTACAAGAACAGCAGCCTTAAAATGCCATGTTATATAAAACTTCTACCTTATATACCTATCCAGTTCATCCATACACGGAATAGAAGTAGTGGTGGCTGGACAACAGCATTTGAAAACCAAATTCTTCCAGAATAGAGGGCTAGGAGTACAAATTTGAACATTTTTTTGCATCTGTAGACAAGACAGATTTTTGTCTTCGGTGCCAGAAGACAGGCCAAAGAAGTCTGACACAACTGTAACCAGTGACCAGGAAAAGTCAAACAGCCAGAGACTACATACTTTTTTTTCTTTTCCTTCTATTCAATTCCGTGAATAGATGTACTCTACTTCTATAGGAGTTTATACACAACAAAATTTGAATAACTGCATCTACATTTTTACAGACCTATAAGAACCCATATCTCTATTTATGAAATTAAGACTATAATGAACCTAAATGCAAATCTTCCAAGCTAGCTCATTCCAAGAGCTAGGATTAATCAGGATAACAATACCTTAATCAGGATAATCAAGAACAATCAGTCAACAATATCTTAAATTGTCTTCATTAGTCATGTGAGCTGAACCACAAGCAAAAATCACCCATTTGCTTAAGATGAGAACTAGGCTCCCACACACCTTAAAAAAAAAAAAAAAAAAAAGGCCAGCTAGATATGTATCCAAAAATACACAGCTGCACCTACATTACCATTTTGGTCTGGATCATTAGCACAGTTCAGAATCAATTTACCGAATCATCCTGCTTACTGCACTTTGGTTTGATTCATGAAGCTGTCTTGGTGCATCTAAACTAGGTGACTTTTTGGATGAAATTAAACCAGAAACTCTGCTCCAGGCAGACAACATACACACTTCAGTCCCCAGTGGAGGCATACAGATCCAAAACAACTGTCCTCTGACAGTGCCAAACCACATGTGGTGGGAATTTTCAGTCCTGAGAACTACAATAAAATCTGTACGAAATAAAATATCTGAATTGTATATAGTAATTATGGTATAGTGGAGGTTTCAGCACCAATGAACCAACATGACATCCTTTGAGAAACAGTACAAATTAGCCTAACTCAAGCCTTCCGTGACTGACAGAAGCAACAGAATTAACAAGGAAACAGAAGAATTATTCACAAACTCAGTTCATCTTTTCACATATTACAGAAATAAGCCAGTTCACATGTGCTAATTGGTAACCCAATTAGCTATCAGAATGGAGGTTGTAGTGAGGTGGGTACTGGCCTCTTCTCTAAAGTAACAAGTGATAGGACAAGTGGAAATGGCCTCCAGTTGCACCAGGGGAGGTTTAGGCTAGATATTAGAAAAAATTTCTTCACTGAAAGAGTGATCAGGCATTGGAACAGGCTGCCCAGGGAAGTGGTGGAGTCACCATCCCTGGAGGTGTTCAAGAAACGGAAAAAAAAAAAAAAAGAAAACTAAGTATTTGGATTAAATATATTTTATCTTGTGATACACAGTGCTGCTCAGTCTATCAGCTCCCTTCTGTTAAAACTGATGTAGATATGTATGCAGAAACTGGAAAAAGGTCTGACAACAATTAACTTTGAAGACTAAGGAATTACTGTGATCTCATATTTTTCTTGCAGATTTGGAAAAAGAACACGAGACATGTGGGTGGTCTGATAACAAAAAACAAAAAATACACCAAATTTTTTTCATGAAATCTAGAATAGAACCAACAACTGTGAACCCTGAAACAACTTACTTGGGCTCCTCATGCCAGGAACAATGTGCGTACACATGAATGAGCCACTGTGCCTCAGCTATGCCTGTTACTCATCATGTGTACTGATATAGTTTACTATCTGTTTACAATGGGGTAAAGCAACTCCCCGAATTCACTGATTTCACCAAGAAGTAAATCAGAAGCTACTTAAGCATTTAATAAAGGGCATCTTTGACAAATGTCACATAGCACATGACCCAACAAGAATTTGCTGGCATGTCTCAGCAGTATCAGTTTCCAATTCTTGTTCCACTGCACATGTAGCAGTGACTTCTGTAGTAACCAAGACAGAGTTGGGAACTGTGTTTCTGGTTACAGAGTAAAGGAGCAGGAGAGGTCTGGCTTGAGGTAGGTCAGAACACCTGAAAGGTTGGGATATTTTGCATGCAAAATGCCAGAATATGCAATCTGGTGTGAAACTGGAAGTTGAAGTGAGGGTACAAGCTTGTTCAGGCAAAGATCTCCAGTATGGAAGATCTCCAGGGACAGGCAAATTGGTACGTTGAACTGCCAGAGGAAGATCAACATGAGGGTAACTAACCCAGAAGCTAGAAAAATATCAGAGTAATACAAAATGCCAGGCTGAAGAAGTCCATAAGTAGTGCCCTAAGGAATTTATCATCAGGTTGTGGAAAAATATCTTGCAAATCTGTTCCATCAGCTGCAGTTTGATACCACTGGGCAAATAAAACCTGTCCACTTGTACACCTCTGCTTTACATATATTGTGTATACATGTACAGAAAAAGGTAGAAATACCTGTAGTTTCCTACAGTAAGCACAAAAAAATGAAGCTAGCCACAGAGTTTACCTTCATTTTGGAGCTTAAGTCTCAGAATTTTCAAGAGCTACTATCCTTCATAGAACGTAGCACATTTTATTCATTTGGAAATGATTCAAGTGGACAGTAAGAAGGCCACAAATGAGAAAGTAAGTGAACATTAATTTAAGGAGAATCAGAATAAACTTAATTCTCCACAATACTGTTTCACCACAGTAACAATTTGATTCTTCCTCCCTCTCCAAAACAAATGGGAGCACTTTTCACTCCTTGAAGTCCTAATAAAGCCCTGTCTTCAAGGCCTTCGTGTGCTTGATTGACTTTTCTCCTACAAGAGCACAGCTACATATATGCTGAGTACATTAAACTTACTTGTAGCCTCTTGCTCTGGTTTGAGACGCACTAGGAGAAGCAGCTAGGGAAAACATATTAGAAATAACAACCATAATTTATTTTCTAAACTGTCAATTTAAGTATTCTGAAATATTTTCAATAAGTGATTGTTTTGGGGCACAGAGGCACATTTTTAATTTTCACTAAACACAAATTTAGAAAATATTCACCACTTACACTTTTTTTTGCTGTGATGGTGGTGTTTTTGATGGCCTTCCTCGTCCTTTCTGTGGCGTAGACTGTGCTGATTCAACTGTACTAGTTTCAGATGGTTCTGCTCTGTTTTGAGGAAGACCCAAATTGCAAAGTATGAAATTATAACTAATGTCCAAGGATAAAAAAGATGCAGTTTACAAGGAGACAGACTTACCTCTGCTGTGTTCTTTTCGCTGTCCTATTTTGCCTGCCTTTTGGTCTTTGTTCAATGTTTTCAGTTTGCCTTTCTTCCTCTTCTTCCTCCTCTTCTGCTACTGCTGCTGGCGGTTGTTTTTTCTTGCTCCTTTTTGATGACTTTGCTGCTGGTTCTTCCTTTGGTGTTCCCCCATTATTTGCTTTGGGAGGCCGTCCTCTTCTCCCTTTCTTTGGTGGACTATTCTGTTCATCCTCACTTTCTATTACATCTTCTTTTAGCCTTTTTTCCTCTTGCCATTGTGTTTCATCAGATTCTGAAACAACTGCAGGTCTCTTCCTTCCTCTTTGACTACCTCTAAGTTTCTGCTCTTGACCCAGTTTATTCAGGTCATCTATGCTTAGTTTCTCTTCTGAATCTGTGATAGCTGCTTTCTTCCTTCCTCTAGGCTTCTCCATCTCTGACTGAAAAGGTAAGATTACATCTTTAAGGTAAAATATTAAACTGCCATATTAAAATGTCAAGTAGGCAAGAGCTACAGAAACTTCCCCCAAAGAGTCTTCAGGTTATGTAAGTAGTCTACTACAACTGTTTACCATATCAATTTCAAAAACGCCTGCAAAAGTATGAACACATACATATGAAATGCCAGACAAGAGAGAAAGATGATTTCAACGGTGAGCAGTTAAGACACTGAAGTGTGTAAGATCTTCCTCACTTGTATCCCCAGCTGTAGCAAACATAACTGGCTAGAACATCCGTAACTGCATTTTTATCACTAGTAAAATACAAAGACAGAGAGGATGGGAATTGTCAATTTGTGACTTCAGCTCTGTTGTGAGCTGCAGGGTGCTTATGCTTGGCTCCCATACTGGCAGCAGCAAGGCACTAATACAGAAGACAGCGGGCAACCAGAATTTATAACTGTAGAAGGAAGCACAGGAATTAGTGGTAGCTGCCAAAACACTGCTGTCAGAGCTGCATAAGACACAACATTTGCCCTGCACAGAAAAAACACACCCAACCCTTAAAAGAATCATGGAATAGTTTGGGTCAGAAGGGATCTCTAAAGACCATCTCATTCCACACACTGTGGGCTGGGACATCTTCCACTAGACCAGGTTGCGCAAAGCCTCATCCAGCCTGGCCTTGAACACCTCCAGGAATGGGGCGTCCGCAGCTTCCCTGGGCAACCTGTTCCAGTGTTTCACCACCCTCACTGTAAAAAGTTTCTTCCTTATGTCCAATCTAAACTTACACTCTTCCAGTTTAAAACCATTGCCCCTTGTCCTGTCACCACAGTCCCTGATAAAGTCTTTCTCTGTCTTTCTTATAAGCTCCTTTCATATGCTGAAAGGCCGCAATAAGGTGTCCCTGGAGACTTCTCTTGTCCAGGCTAAACAACCACAGCTCTCTCAGTCTTGCTTCACAGAAGAGGTGTTCCAGCCCTCTGACCACTTTTTGTGGCCCTCCTCTGGACCTGCTCTAACAGCTCCATGTCTGTCTTTTAAAGGTGACTCCAGAGCTGGATGCAGTACTCCAGGTGGGGTCTCACGAGAGGGGAAGAATCACCTCCCTTGACCTGCTGGCCATACTTCTTTATATGCAGAGGCCAGGATCTGGTTGGCTTTCAGGCCTGTGAGTGCCTGTTTCTGGCTCACATCCAAATCTTCATCCACCAGTGTCCCCAAGTCTATCTTGTCAGGGCTACTCTCAATCTATTATTCCCCCAGTCTGTACTGATACTAGGGATTGCCCCGAGCCAGGTGCAGGACCTTGCACTTGGCCTTGTTGAACCTTATGATGTTCAGATGGGCCCACTCCTCAAGCATATCAAGATCCCTCTGGATGACATGTCTTCCCTGCAGCATATAAAGAAAGGTAGAACCCTTCCTGAAACATAAGCTTTCAGAACAGAAACTATTCCTTCACCTCTCCATGCTCTAGTTTTCTGAAGTGCACAGTTAAGAGACCTAAATAGTGCTAAGATTTCAATAAGCAGCTATTAGGGACAGAAGATTTGCCCCAACCAACCCCTTATCCCTGGAAAAAAAAAAAAAAAGTACCCACCTGCCATTTCATGGGGACCATGACTATTTCATTTTGGACCATTATATGGTCCAAAAGTCCAAATATTTACAGTATTTCAGTTTCATACCAATGTTTATTTCAAAATAACATTACTGTATTTCAACACAAACACTAATTTATTAGTATTTGCCACATTGCAATTTCATCTACATAGTGACAGTTATGCCACTTAAAACTAGACTTGAATGCGGTTTTTTGCTTCACATTACCCTTGTGACATAAGACAGAAGTCTGCTTACAAATACATGTCTCTGCTTTATCCATAGAATCATAGAATGACCCGGGTTGG